CACAGAGAGTATTGTTCTATACAAGAAAAGTTGAAAAAGCAGTTCATTTGATTTTAGCTTATTATTCCATAATCTGAGATCTTTAAATTCAAGTATAAATTGTATTAAATGTATTACATATTGGTATTTTTCATGGACAAACTATTTTTATGAGGCTGAGGAAATATGCTCATTTAAGTTTGGAATGTATATAGTAATGGCTATTCAGATGCACAGCCCTGTTCTCCATCCTTATCGGCCACTTTTCTATGACTAGTTGGATTTATTTTTTGCATATGAAAAGTTGCAGGTCTTCTAGACTTGAATTCAAATTATTTTTCTATATTTTTGCTGTAGGAACCATCTGTCCATAACAAGAGCTATGACTAATAAATTACTTAGTCTTTATGTTCTGAGTCTGTATTTCAGAAAACCTGTTTCTTCCAAATAATTAAAATCTTCTTTCTAAAATACTCTGGTGTTTGCTGCTTTGCAGTGCCTAACCTTGTGCTCTTACTCAAAATGTATTTGTATAGTGGAGCTGGTATCACTGGGCGGCTTTCAGCCGAGTTTGGACTGGACTAGACTTTTGCTTCTAGCTTGATTCTAATGCCACAGCGCACAAAACAACCTTGCCATGAGAGCCACCTCCATGCTGAACACATTTTACAGTAAGTTACTGTTTCACATAGCAAGGCGTCAGAATCCAGAGCTGGCCTCAAGTGACCTGTTGGCCTAAGCGTCAGAATCAGAAAGCTGTAAAGGTCAGTAAGAGCAGGAGGACACTTGAGTAGCTCTAGAAGTTTACACCTAGGTGATTGTTCACTATTGCTTTTTACCAATTTCCTCTGCCTAATTTCTGTTCACTGACTGTACAATTCCTTAGTACTGACTGGATTACCCCCCTCTGAGGCCCTTGAAAAATAATCTCTGAGGGAAGAGCGAAGTGCATTCCCTAACTTTTACTTTTCTTTATATATGTATACAGTGTCCCACATGTAAATATTGGTAAAACCTGATTTTAAAAGACAAGTAACTCATCATCATTGGGAAGAGTGGTGAAAGAAAAATAAACATGTAGGTAGACACCAGATTTCTTAGCATTGCAACACTGCTTTTATCCTAGTTAAAGTACCTATCCCACTTAAGCTGCATGTTTTGGAGCAGATGGAACTGAAATTCCAGAATTTCTGTTGCGCATACCTATCATATAGGCAGCTTTTCAAAATTTATCTGCTGCCTTACAGTTTCACTGTAACCTCACTCTAAAAGATTTAATTACAAATTCCATGCAGATATTACACAGGGATTTCTTATATTATCCATATGTAAGTTGTGAAATGTGTCTCTTCTTGTAATCCTTCCTAAAAAAAGAAAATCTAACTTATCGGTAATGACATTTATTCCTTCCTTATAGCTTCTACGCTTGATTATTGCATTACTGAAAGTTACTTTATTCCATAAGTCAGTTTCTCACAAGCGACCTTCTGCAGATAAATAAAATCTGTAACTTAAGTCAGCACAACAAGACCATCTTGTGCTCTTCAGTACCGGCCAAGCTTTGATGCACTGGAGTCTTAGTATGTGACAATCCAGGACTAACAGGTGAGAGATGGCATTTCTCTTTTCTCTGGTGATGCAAAACATCTTCTTTGTTAGAAAGCTTTGCATGGGTTTGGTTAGGCTGAGAAGGCTGGTTGTGGGAATGATGCAGTTTTAGCACACCAAGTTTTGTCTAGTATCTCTACTGGTTTGGGAAGGTTATTCCAGTGCACATTTTAACCACATGTGGCTGCGCTCTGAAATTGTGTCAGAATCTTCATTTCATGCGTGTCAGCAAATACAGCTGTTTGGCCTCACTCAAAAACAAACATGGAATTCCCACTGCACTTTGTGCTCTTCCCAAAGTGGAAACACATCTTAAAGGGGCAGCATTTTTAAAGTGGGTTGAACTATTTGTCTTTTGTGTAAGAACAAATTCAGAGTAAGAGCAGAACCCAGCAAAGTAAAGATCTACATACACAGCTGGAAAACTAAAAACTGAAGGTAACTTTGATACCTTGAGAAGGCTGACCTCAAACAAAGCAGATATTTATTGAAAGGCCTTAAAGGATACACCTTGGGCAGTACAAGAGCCTGGCCAGGGCTACACCCAGGATGGACCTAAAAATGGTCACAAAATGGACCACTGGTCATGAGGTCTCACATTTTTCTAAGTTTAGGTCCATCTGCATATTTGGGTTCATTGTCCAATTACAGCTTCAGGTTATGAAGTCCCATCTTTCTTGTCCTCTCTCTTCAGTCCACCGTTGTTTATGCTTTTGGGCCTGGAACTTGTAACAATTGTCCTTGGTATCAAACTAGAAAAGGAATTGTTTTGTCTTCTTACTCTGTGAAGAGAGCTCTTAATAAGCTCTTAATTAATTCTTAAGAACTAACACTTAATATGAAGCTATAAACTACACACCTAGGCAGCACAGAATCTGAAAAATATGAAAGTTATACTTAAGGCATCAACTTAATGCAGTCAAGCTCTATGGAAAACTTGCATTAGTTAACCAAGTTTGGGAAAAAGAAAAGATAAGAAACCCAACACTTAATGTGCCTGAAAATGTCTCCTTTAAAGAAAACCCAATGATTCTGAACATGTATGGTTTTGGGTTTTTTTAATATGATCTCTGCTGTAATGATTTATAATTTTACAAAGTTTCAGGGTAAACCATTGTCACACCACTTGACAGTGCATCTAGTTGTGGTCACCATGAAGGTTAATGCTATCCATCTCTCATAAAATGGTTCAGTATCAGTCTTAGCAGTTAATAGAAACTGAACAAGATTCTATGATATAAAAAAGCCATGCTGGAAATGCCTACTTAGGTAAGTTAAAAGGCCATGGTTGCACCCCATCCAGTGGAAATAAATAAATAAAATCAAGTCCTTTCTTTACCTTCAGCACAGCCACTTTGTCATTTCATCATGAAATGAAATTCAAGGGGGTTGTTTTTTATTATTTTAACCACAAGCTAGTATGTCCAGGACAAAGAGAAGACTCGTTAATGCTGCTGTAATGTAAATGACACAAATGTTACTCAAAAAATACTGTGCTACCAAAATAATTAAGTAAACACTTTTACTGAGTAAAAATAACTCAGTAAACACTGAGGTAGTACAAACTCATAAAGTCCTGTAGGAATATGCTCAAAGTTTTTCTTGTATGTCTTTTCTCACCTAAATTACTTTATTGGATTCTTTGTTTATAGATGCTTTCTATATTCAAAAGTTGAAAGAAATCAGCTTTAGAAAGCCTTGTAAAAACATTTTAAGGTGCATGGTAAAGTGCTCAGCTATTGAATAAATAAAGAAGTAAAACTCACACAGAAGATAAGTACTAAAAACTGCTTTTCAGCCAGATTATTATGAAGAACAAATTTCACAAACTTAATCATGATGAATTGCATGTTCAAAGAATACTAGAGTACATTATGTTAGCATCCTTCCATAATTTCTGCTTTGTCCTTTGTTCAGTGAAACTTTCATTGAGGTAGGAAGAGCCTTGCAATTGTTGATCTTCAGGTTTATTTTTAAAGAAAAAACACTAGTTTAAACCCTCTAAAGGTCAGCTGATCTTCCATATACAGATCAATAGCAGAAGATTATAGTGCTCTACACCTTTATAGTGACTACTGTTCATGGCAAAATGTCTCATTAAAACATGTTAGTACATGAAAATTTAGGAGTTTTCACTTGTGCAACTTGTGTTTCAATTCCTTATGGTCAGGAGAAACATCTGAAAATGTGATGGCTTTAAATGATCTAGCAAATAAAACATTTAAAGAACCCTTCTGTAATTCTAATAGTCTAAGGAATTTTAAGAACTTGCTTTTTGGCAATGTTTTCAGTGTTCAGAGACAGCTGTATTTACTGTGCTGGAGAAGCAAAAGTAGTGGTAAAAACGGCAAAAAAAAACCCCAGCACCCAACTCTAAGCAAGGGTACAAAACAAAGCCAGATTTTGTTCACTGATTCAAACAACTAAAAGGGCTCTTGAAAATCAACGATCCAAACTTGCCTTTCCTCTGCTGAAAGAAACATACAGCAGCTCTTTGTTTCAGTATCATTAGTCAACATTTGCCCTGGTACAAGAATGTCTCTTCCTGTCTGCACGGAGGGGGAAAGGAGGGAGACTTTTTCTTCAAACCATGGCACACAAGTTTTCTTTGCTGCACACAAGTTGAGGTTGTGCTCTCCTGACCTAAAAAGACCTGCAGAAGGACATGGAAGGCCAGGTGTAACTCAGACCCTGCAGCCCCAGAAAAGCCATCCGCCAGCTGTGTGACACAAAATGCCACAGCTGCACCAGCCCCGCCCCAGCGGCAGATCCGTGTGTGTCTGTAAATGTGTGTCTCTCCAGAAACAGAAGCCTTGTTACTCACACAGTCCACTTCTTCCCTTCCTGTATTTCTGAATTTTCTTTCAGTATCCAGGCACAGGTGATCCCTTGCTAGTAAGAGCAAAAATGACGATTTACCCTCACCAGAAGTGCCAGTAAGTGCATTCAACTTCCGGTGTTTCTGCAGCAGCGTAAGTTGTACACTTGTGGTAAACTTGTATCTAATAAAAGCTACTTATTTTTATGTATTTTCCCCCCCCCCTTTTCAAAGGTACAAATTGAGGATCACTGTAGTTAAAGAGGTTTTCTTTTATGCTGTGCAAGTACTCACTATACAGTACAGCCCAACAGAAGTACAAATAGGGATCACTGGAATGTTAAACTGCATTTGCTTGAGTGATTTTTTTTGATCCATTTTTCTTCCTCTCTTCCCAGCATCTAAAGAAATATCTAGAAGTAAAGCAGAAAACACATTTCAATGCTCACTTAAAACAAGTGTGCTTCCTGTGCTTTTCATTATCTTTTTCATCACAATTTTCTATCTAATCTTTGAATGAAGGATCACATGAGATAATGATCTCTTTTTGACCATATAATGCAGAGCTGTCCAGTCTATCAGACTGAGTTAAACATTATCCTTCCACTTTATGGTTCTTTAGTGTAATACTTTCTGCTAATACAGATGATTCTTTCTTGTTTAGTACTGTAGAAGTTGTAGGAATTTCAACAGCAACACTGTCCTGTTTACTTGTTTCACTGGACGCAGAAGAGGGTGGCTGAGATGGTGTCACAAGAAAAAGCAGAGTCCTTTTCAGCTTCACTGCGCCGTTGTTCACAGGCTTCTTACTCCCTGCAGCTTGGAATGGCATTTGGCTCAGTGTCCCATTGCCAGCACTCTGCCTTCCATGGGGAGCCTGGGACTTGCTGAGCACTGATGTGAGTGCTGTGGATGTGGTTTCAGAAGCTTCTTTGCGCAGCATCAGACTTTCACTATGGGGTCATTTAAGAATTGCTGCAGAATGTGAAGCACTGCAAGCAGCTACCTTTAATGAAGACGAATTCTTGACTTTTATGTGGGTACTTGTTGAGGGACCTGAGAATCTAATTGGCTGGGGACCCACTTTACCTGGTAAACTGCCTTCCACTTCAGTATAGTCAATTAATTGTCTGCAAACCAAAGAACTTAAATTTTAAAAAAATTAACTATACATGTAAATTGTTATTTTTATAACATTATTACACAACAGACCATCTGCAACAGCCTTTCACAAATAGGTTTAAATGATTCTGTAACAAGCATAAACTACAGTTCCAAACATCTCATCACTACAATCAGGGTTGCCTTTCTGTGAGTAGAACCATCAATCTCTTCTGCCTCTCTAAGAAGGCACATTAAAAACTGTAGCAGCGAAGTGGCTGTAGACTGGCTCAGGTGACAGTGCAGTGGCGCCTGCAAAAGGCTGCTTTTAGGTAATGTGTTGAGGATGGAGGTGGAATCAAAAATATTGCCATAAAACTGCAGAGAAGAAGTCCTAAAAATTCCTTCTAAAAAGAAGACATCTCACAGACACAAAAATCAGTTAATCTTTTAAAGTTTTCACTTAAATTTCTGGTTTAGCAGCCCATTTAACTAATACTGCTCTCTAGTTTTTGAAGTTACTCATTGCCAGGCTGCTGAGAAATCTCAGCAGCCTAAAAAAAACATAATTTGTTTTCTAGCAGGTTCAGTTGTGCAATTAAGCGCGCTATGATGTTTTATAAAAAAGTAAATTAAAAAAACAGAGAAATCTCAACATGCATAAATATTTAAGGAACCTGAAATTATAGAGGGGAAATAAAAAAGACAGCACTGTATTTGTTAATTAATTTTACGCCACCTATGCAAATCAGCATACCTTTTATGAACTGGAGGCATATCATGAAAACTGCCTCTCAGAGGTTGTTCTTCCCGAGTCCAACATTCAATCAGCTCCTGAGGCACTCTCCAGTAGCTGACACCTGCATTTCATAGCAGCATTGTACTGATGAGCTGAGAGAACACAGCCATACATGTTTACACCAGACTAAATACATGAATACATGTATTTTATTATGCAGAATTTCAGCTCTCAACCTGCTGACATTGCTGACAGCCAGCATGCTGCTTCATTCACGTCAGCTCTTGTCCCCTCTCTGGAACATCCCATAAAACATTATTTTCCCCACAAACAGACACTACTATTTTACAACATTATGAAGGTTTATGCAGAGTTTTTATTATACTTACTTGGTAAATATTTTTCTTATTTTTATGTTAAAAAGTAGTAATAATGAAATAAAAAATTATTACCTCTCCCTTCCCAGGCATCGAAAGCATCCATCATCTTTTTCAGCTCAGCTACTGAATAATAGCTCCAGATATATTGGATGTTATTTCCAGCTTCTTTAGAAATATTGTTTTAAAGGTAACAGTCATGTCATTAGTTATCTCAGTCCTTAAAAATGTACCATTGGTGAAATATATCATTCTTTTTACCAAATCCTAACTACAAGGACTTAGCAGTAAATGTTTCATGAAGCAGAAAGGAAAATGTTACTCTGATTTTGTTTTTATTCAAATAAGACATTCTAATCCTCCTGTGAATGCCTATTGCTAAAAATGGATATTCATGAAGGAAAAGATGTTCATAGAAGAATGATTACGGAATTAATTATGTAAAACCTATTTTCTAGAATACACAGTACAAGAACCGATACCTGATATGTTGCCAAATACTTTTGGAATAAATATTAATGTTCCCAGCCTAAATTTAGGAAGATATGCATCCTAATTATAAAGATGATGAAGTATAAAGAGCTCTATCTTAATCAAAAGATGCACAGTGAAGTACACTTCTGACAGAGGCAACAGAAATAGTTAAAGGCAGGGCAACTCCTTAACATGCAGAGAAACTGAAAGGCCTGGAATTGTTTTACACCTTTCAAAAGGAAACAAGTAAGGGAGAATGTGAAATACAGAGGAAAATAACTTGCTAAGGGAACACAGATGACTGTCAGAATTAACACAGCCAGAGCTGGTAATATGAATTAATTTCTCACCAGTTAATTAGAAGTAGCTTTTAAGTTACAATACTCTAAAACCTTAGTATTTTACATAATACACTAATTATCTTTCCTCCTTTCTCTTTCTAAAGAAATGTCAGAGTACATTTTGTCTTACGAGTTTTAGGAATAATTTGTAAAACTGAAAAAGAAACCCAAACAACTTGAAGAGATCAAATCTAAATTCAAGTAAAATTTGAAGCCAAATAGGAACCTAAATGTTCTTCCTACTACACAAGTTCTGCAGCAGACTTGCATGTACAACACTCACATTTGAACTGTTGCTGTATTGCAATGATGATAAAAGCTGGTGTCCTTGACTATACTGACTGCATTATCAACTCTAGGATTTTTTAACGCTCTGAATTTACTCATGATTTAGTGTGGTCACTGAGAAGTGCTAACTTGGACATTCTGTAGCTTTAGTGTTTGGTGCTAATGAATGGTACAGGTTAGAGAGATCAACATCAAAAATGTTAAGAAATGTCTGGACCTTTTTAAGCTCTATACTGGACCTTGAAGAGTGTGTCTCCATTTCATTGACCAAATGATCAGGCAGACTGTATGGATAAGGGATTCCAAAATAATCTCCTTCCTCCTGCAGTGCAGTTCAATCTTGTTCATCTCCAAGAATCTGAACTTCTCCATGAAGATAATGCAAAAGATATTTAAACAGGTTTACATCTTGGTCAATTAGACATGCTCCTGAAAACATGAAGTTATTAAAAACAATATTAAATATAATTATATGAATATTAATATAATATAATAACATAATAAAACATAATAATATAATCATTAATATTAAAAATAATTTACCAAATCATCAAGTACAACCTTTTGTACAAGAATTCTGTTTTTACTGGTTTTACTTAGGAGGAGTAAGTATTAGGAGGAGTCTCTACTATTTTAAAATGGTATTTTGTTATGTTAATAACATTGATATAACTTTATATTAATAATATATTAACATTAATAACCTGAATATTTGTTATTTAAAGATAAAATTCTTAGTGCAGTAAACATTTCTTTGGAATTTCAGTGAAATCACTAGTCTGCATAGGACCATAGCAACAAATAACCTCAGCTGTGCTGCACTCTTCTGCTTAAAATGCTAAAATCTAATTCTAGACTCATTTCTAATTCTAACCGCAGGTGCATCTTTACTCACCGTTGCAGGGATCTGTTCAATTTTACATCTAGACCATTTAAGAGAGTTAAAATTAGCACCAGTTCCAGTACACACCTAGACAAACCTCCCCTGAGTATTGCTCAAGTTATACTGTATGTGGGGTTTTTTTCTCTCCCCTGTCTGAAGGGTTCAAGGACCCCAAGAAAACCAACCAAACCATACGGTCTGTACAACAGGCTGATCACTGCAACTGTGAAAGATGGTAGCAAAGTCCTGCTATGTTGTTTATGTTAAACATTTTGGGTATTTTAAACAGTCTAATGTATGCAACAAGAAATTACTGTTCTTCATCCATCATCTCTTTTAACTGGGCCTACTTTGGCAGGATTTCTAAGTCACAAACAAGTGTGAAATTTGAACCATGAACAGGCTGAATAAAATTTTATATAAAGCCATGGCAGTGAAAAATGCAATTTTTACTGAGTAATGAGGTACTCTGAAACAAAGATTAGACCCAAATCTCTTTATGTAATGAACAGAGGGAATGAGATGTCTCTGGAGATTACAGGGTTTCACAGACAGATTCCAAGATAAATGCCTAATACTCTGCCAACTTCAATTTTATGCATTTTTATATTCTTACTGAAGAAGTACATTCCAAAGCTACAGTTTGGATGTGGCACTGTACAAATGTGTGTGTTTGCAAGCATGAGCAGACTTGTGGAATTCAGATTAACTACCTGTACATATAAAATCATGCATGCAGAACTGTTTTACACCCTGGCATTAGAAGCCAACTGATGCTCAGCAGACTGGGAAAAGAGATATACTGTAAAATGTATAAATATATATAAAAGCATGTATTTGCCAGAAACCTCTGTGATCAGAATATGATAGTTAGAGCTTCAATGTATTTACCCAATTCACCCACTTTCAGAGGAAAGTGTCTACTAAACATGGAAGTCAGCATGGAATCCTTAAAGCGGCACAGAGACTTGTGCCTGGCTGTGTACAAACAGCCTCACACATTCACTTGTACAATATCCTGCACCTCTTCAACCTTGCCCTCTTCCATTGCATTTGACAGTGATGATGTTCATTATGAGCTATTCGAACCTAAAACAGATACAAAGAGAAGTCAAACTAATGGCAGCTACAGACTTAATGTATCACCTACCTAAGCAAGGGTTCAGCTCTTGCATATCTGTAACAGGAGACCGCTTTGAAAACAGTTCTAGAGACCTAGTAATGCAAATAACCAAATAATCTCCACCTTTAGTGTAAAAAACTATGGCGTTTCACTGTGCTAGGAAACACAAAACTCGCTCTTTTGAAACAAATAGGCAAGCAGAGCTAGTGGTCAGGACGTGTGACCAGAGCTCTGGAAGGACATCCTCGGAAATCCTGCGCATAGTTCACAGTACTAAAACTGCAGCTCTTTCTGAATCAGTGACAGCGTGGCTTCTGTAAAATCCGATCTTTAACTAGGGCTGCTTTAACTTCCCGTCCCGCGGGGCGCAGCGCCGCACCGGAGCTGTGAGGGCAGCGCGCCCTCGCTCGGGAGCGCCGGGGGCAGCGCTCAGGGCCCGGCCCGCACCGCCGCGCCTTCCCTGCGATCCGCCGGGCCGCCCGCGGGCCGCGCTCCGTCCGATGGCGGTGGGGAGGGCCGGGCCGGGCAGAGCGGGGACAGCAGAGGGGGGTCCGGGTGCCCCGGCCGCGCTGTGCCCTCCCCGCGGTCCCTGCCTTGGGCCAGCCGGGCCCCGGCGCTCTCCGGCGCTGCCGGCAGGGCCTCCCCTCAGGCGCCCTCCGAAGTGTGGCTGAGCCGCCTGCAGTCGGCTGCTCTGTAAGGCACAAACCGTGCTGATGGGTTTTTGTTTTGTTTTTAATTACGACTACGGGTTTACTCAGAGTGGGTTTGGTTCTATTGCTGTTTCTATAGTCTCCACAATCAGAATCTTAGAATGGTTTGGTTTGGAAGGGGACCTTGAAGATCATCTACTTCCAAACAGCCCCCGCCTTGAACATGGATGGGGCATCCACAGCTTCTCTGGGCAACCTGTTCCAGTGCCTCACCACCCTCAGAACTTTTTTTTTTCGTAACAGCTAATATAAACAGGTTCTCTTTTAATATGAACTTGTTTCCTCTTGTCTGGGCACTAGATGCTCACGTAAATACTCTTGCTCATCTTTCCTGTAAGTTTCTCTAAGGTACTGGAAGGCTACAATTAGGTAATTCTGGAGCCTTCTCTTTTCCAGACTGAACAAACCAACTCTCTCAGCCTTCCCTCAAAGGAGAGGTTCTCCATTTCTCTAATCTCTTGGTGGCCTCCTCTGCAGTCACTCCACCAGGTCCCTGTCCCTCCTGTGCTGGGGCCCCCAGAGCTGTGTGCAGGGTTCCAGGTGGGGTCTCAGAGCAGAGGGGCAGAATCTCCTGCCTTGCCCTGCTGCCCACGGGGGTTTGGATGCAGCCTGGGACATGTTTGGCTTTCTGGGCTGAAATTGCACATTGCTGGGTCATGTCCAGCCTCTCCTCCACCAGCTCCCCCAAGTCCTTCTCTGCAGGGCAGGTTTCAATATGAGAGCAGCTTGAGCTGACTCCTGACATAGTGCTGCTGGGTTGATGGCAGATGATCTTGAAGGTCTTGTCTGTGAAAAACAAAGTTCACTCTCTAGAATTTTTAGAAGTTTAATAAGGGAATAAAAGGGACAATGTCCAGTGCTGGTGTTTCTGGCTATTGGCCAAAGAACACAAGGGTAGATTGAGACAGTGTTTTCTAGATACTGTTACGTTACTGAGGTACATGCATATTCACGTGTTTCACACTTTATTCAAACATTTTTGTGAGCTTTTTGATATTTCAGGAACTCTTGTTTGGTTTTTACACTGATTTATCTGCAGGACATCTTGTGGGTTAGGTCAACATATTTTATTTCTTCTTGTGTTTCCATCCTGTTGTTTCACACTCCCTGATAAGGAGTTAACAAATCCTTCTCCCTTGCTCTGGTTTGTGTCACTGTTATCACTTGGAAAGGTTGGTTGGATATGGGGGAAACAACATAATCACCTTACACCATTCCCTTAGTTACACAGGAGCATTTTAACATTTGGTGTTTTGCTAAGGCCTGGGATATAAACATCATCACACCACTGTTTCTACAAGCTATATGGTGCATACATAGATATATTCATCACATGACTATTTCTATAATCTACATGGTGCAAAACTAATAGATTGTGTTATACACAGCTAAAAGGAGTTACAAATTGTACCATATCCAAATACTTATGATCAATAACAACATGTAAAAGCTAGTACATAAATGCGAAAGCCAATATTATATTGTCATTTTATACATCTTCCAACCTTGATGATTTTATACATCTCCCAACCTTGATGATTCTGTGATTCAGTAATGCAGGCAAGATGCCTCACCCCCATACAGGCATTTTAAACTGACATTCAGAAAGTGTCCAGTTAAATTCCTTATGTCTGACATAGAGTTGTGTGGTCATCAAAATGCATGCAATAAACAACAGAAAGGTAAAGAAAATACGTTCATGTTACACTTTTGTCTCAGCCTCACTACACAAATTATATATACTTGAAAAATATTTCTAAAATGCAGCTGCATTTTCTAAAAAAAAAATTTAAAAAAATTTAAAAAATTACAACATTATGTCTAGTTCCCACTTAGTTCTCCTTTATTTGCTCACAAAGTTTGGTTTTTTGCCATAACATAAAGTAAGAAACTATCCTTGTGGATACAACTGCCAAGTAACTAGGAGTTGTGTGCAAAAGTTTACAGCATTAAACTCTTTTTTAATTTCTTTTTTTTTTTTTTCATTTTTCTTGGCATCTAATCATGCTCCAATTGCAGCAAAGAGAGAGAATGGCATGCCAAGCACCAAGGCTCTCCTGTGCTCCCTGAACAGTTCTTGACCAAGAGTGTACCCAGAAGCCACATTTCTGATGCTTAATAGCTAATGAATTAACACAAGTTACATGTCACTGAATGCAATACAGGCTGTTAATCCAAGGATGTTGGTTTTACTGTAAAACAAGCAAAAATAAGTATAATAGATTGTTTTTGTGGAATAATAATATCTATTTTAACTGCATCTTGATATGTTTTCCCTTACTCACTGGGAATAGTTCACACATAGCAATTGCAACTTTAATGTGGCCATTGTTGTCAAATATTATAGTGTAAGTATAGTCTTTGGTCTTTCTTACTCTAAAATATTCACTTAATGAAGCTGCAGCTTTCCATGCTTATTTTCACCTTTAAGCTGGCTTGGTTTTGCCTCAAAAGTCTAAACAATGTTCCTGTATCTCTGCACTGTGAGACCAGAACAATATACACAGTTTCAGTCAATATACACACACATATATACAAACAAACAGCACAATAGGTTTTGGACCTCAGATTTAACCATGAGAATTATCATTACCATTCAGGCAAGTACAGCATGTACTTGGCATAGAAGTGTGCCACAGGCAAAGTGCCTTTTGAGCTGCATGTTTTGGGAAATGAGCACAGGGATGTTTTTGTCTTGGTGTTTACTAGCTTCCCAATGAAGCCAGGCTTACAAACTCATCCTCTGTATATTTGTGTTTTTCTTTACTAATTTCAGTCAAGTTTGATGGGGAGGAAGAGGCATTAAGAAATGGATTTTTCATTAAGCTTGTGCAAGAAGTGGTGTGATTAAAAGAAGGCAAGTTATTAATACTATAATTTCAGGAAAAGCTGTATCATGAGCTCAGGTCTTGTTGGACACCAGAAAATCCAGAAAAAGAGAAGCTGCTCTACATAAGCTACCCACCAGAAGTGCTTTAGTCATAGCTCACACTGTATTAGGCACTACAGGATTAATTCTTCAACCAAGATTCTTCTCAGACATGAATATGTACATATCTAGTAAGGTACAAAATCAGTTCCCACATGGTTAGAGCTTTCACAAGAGTCTGTGTGTCTTTCCCTCACTACCTTTCATTTCTATTCAGTTTAAAGACCAGTCATAGGATCCCAAGTGACTGTAACCCGTAATTCTGCCCTTAATATACATTTAAGATATATAGGCTGTGAAACTTGGCAGTGCTTTAAGTTCTTCCCTACTTTGAGTAGCTGGCAATTAACTGGGGATTTTTACATGTGAAGTAAAATACAGTGTGGGAGTTCCTCAGTGAAGTGTAAAGGAAAGTATGACCATGGGTGGAAATGCAATATTTCACATTTTATTTTAAATTTACTGCCCACAGTAGTGACATAAACACTAAATGGAAGCAAACTGGTGATTGCCTCTTGAAGAGTTGAGACTGTTGTGGAATTGGAGGAAATGAAAACTCATTGTTGGAACTGGAAGAAAAACACTGCCTTGTGGAAAGGAGAAAGAGGCAAGTTTTATTTGATTAGTTTTCTATTTTTAAAGTTATGTAAGGTTATTTGCTCTTTTATTTGGCCAGATTTTTATAGTGGCTACAGTCACTTCCAAGTTTCCTTGTAAGAGAAAATGTACGAAAGGTATATGATGTGTGCTGGATCAAAGCTGTTTTAAGGGTTTTGCATAGGGTTTTGCAGCTTCAGGGCCACACTGAGAAACTCTGTCATACATCATTCAATAATAAAAGTAATAAATATTCAATAATAAAAGAAGCAAGGGACTCTCCAGATGCTGTTTAGAGGAGATTATGAAAATAGCAAGTTCATAAAGATCCATTTTTATATAATGCTACTCCTATTTCATGTGTGATTCCTTTGACTTACTTTATACAATATTGTAATGTTGGCACACAGCAAGGTAAGGTTTTTTTGACAATTACTGCATTAAAGAAACTGATGCACTTTTTTTTATTTCAACCTTCTGCATCTCTGTAAATCTTCAAATAAAACATTATCCCTGCCTACTCTAAAATTACCAGTTCCTGGATCAAATTTAGCAATTAATGTCCACCTGAGCTAATGGCAGAACTGGGCACACACAGCCAGTAAAAGAGAATGTATGTGAAGAGGGTATTAAAGGGCTTTTGGACTTCGAAGAGATTTTAGGGAAAAGCATTTAATTAGACTAAAGTACTTCCATGCAATTCACAGTCCTAGTATTACCTGAACCACATTAAAACTGAGCTTGCTCAAATTCTGTTGTCAGAGACTTCCTGCCCTTCCAAGTCTTTAGGTATGCAGGCAGTATATAATCGTCTAGAGTGTAAATTTATCACTGTTGTCTTCCTAACTGCCTGTCTTCCTGATGCCTGTTTATACATTTTTATTCCATGGATTACTAATAGCTCAAAATCAGCCAGAAAGAAATTTAACTTGTCACTAAGAAGGAATTATATGTTTTTCTCCCTTAAGCCTAAAGCAAATCTTTGAACTGAACCCCAAACACCTCAAATGCTTCCTAAAAATCTCTGACAGCTAAGTGGAGTGTCTGGAAGTATTCCACTCCCTTCCTCACAGTGCACTGAGATTGATGCTAAGCCTTCATATCCTTAATATCTATTTTTAAAATTTTAATTGTATGTTATAAATGGTATTGTTACAAATGACAATACAGTATTTGTTTTCACTTTTATGTATTGGCTTTAGCATATTATTATTAATCACAAAGATTTTGATATAGTACAATTTATATTTACTCTTAACTGCCTTTGGTATAGTATAATCTGTCAATTTCTGTATGTACTGTATAGCTTATATAAACAGTAGTGTGATAAATATATCTTAGACCATAGCATAATATTAAAATAAACACTATGTGATGTTAAAATGCTTTTTTCCTTTAACTCAGAGAATGGTGTTAAATAATTAGGTGATTCCCTGCATTTGTGGACTATCTTATCTGAAAGACAAGATGATGGTGACAAAAAACAGAACACCAAAAAAAATAATTTATTGATTCCTCGTCATCAGGGAGTGTAAAAACAGGATGGAACCACGAGAAGAAATGAAATATATTGATCTAATCAACAGGATGGCATGCAGACAAGTGAAAGGTAAAAACCAAGCAAGAAAATCCCTGGAACATCTAAACTCACAAGAACGTTTGAAAAATATATAGAACTCATTAAATGTATGTACCCCTGTAATGTAACAGTATATCGAGAACATTGTTTTAGCTAAGGATGTCTTTTCTGGCCGATCGCCGAAACACCCCAGCGCTAGAAATTTGTCCCTTTTTGCCCGTTATTAAACTTTTAAAAATTCTAAAGAGTAAACTTTTGCTTCTCACGGCACTGAAAATGCTTTTCAAAGATACGTAGCTGGGACACCCAACTCCTTTTTAAAACACACAGGTGTCACTAGAGAGCCGGAGCCGTGGGTTAGCGGTGAATGACCTCAGCATACCCCACTTCCGAAACGCCCCTGACCGAATGTTAGAGCAGCGGTAGAACTATTTCAGGTTGGGACATCCCGCACCTCCGTGACCGCTCCAGCGCCGGGCGCTCTCCGCTCCCGCTGTCCCGCTCGCCCCGTCGGGCCCGGCCTGCGCTCGAGGCGCGGCCCCCGCGCGCCCGGCCCAACCGCCCCGCCGCGCGCGCGGCCGTTGGCTCTGAGGGCTCCCGGGGCTCCCAGAGTTCCAGGGGCTCTGAGAGGTCTCAGGGCTCCGAGGGCTCCGGGAGTTCCAGGGGCTCTGAGAGGAATCAGGGCTCCGAGGGCTCCGGGAGTTCCAGGGGCTCTGAGAAGTCTCAGGGTTCAGAGGGTTCCGAAGGCTCCGAGGGCTCTGAAGGCTCCGAGGGCGGGCAGGGCCTCGCCCCCGCCCTCCCGGACCTTTGCTGGCCGGCTGGTCTCTGCATCTCAATCTCTCCCCCCCCCTCCTTTCGGGTTAACTTTGAACCGTTTGGTTTGTAATGCGGTTTATTTAACTGCGTCGGTTTTAAATCTGTCGTGACAAAGCTCAAGCTGGTCTGACCGTACTGTATAGTAGTAGAACCTTGGGGTTTCTCCCTTTTGTGTGTAAACTCGGATGCTTTATGTGAGGGAATAGACAAGCTGAAAAATCTATGATCTTTTCAGGTTTCATGGTTTACTAGTGAAGTGTTTTGCCTCTCTGTTTATGTCTCACTGTGTTGATTAATTCATTAATCTGTTTTAATGAGCTGAACAAAGGTAAAGACTGAAGCAATTCTTTCAACTTTAGATACAAAAATCCTCATAAGACATAATAAACTCAATTTTGAGAAGTGCCAAAAGATCATTTATTTATTTGGATGTTCCCCTTGATGGTGTACAGATTCATTCCGAGGATGGATCAAGGCGCAACTGCTAAATCGTCATCTGCTGTGTTCACCTCAAATGCTGCTAAAGGATGGATGAAGAAGAGGAATGGAGGAGCATTACAAGCTGCAAAATGGAATGCTTCTTTAGCTTCTAAAATCAAAACGAAATTATTAAGTAAGTCCTATTAAAATAAAACTGAAGCTTAGTACTTAGAATGTATGACTTCAAAAGAAATAGTAATTGTATTTAACACGATGAGCTGAAATTCTGCCTATTAAAACCATTCTGTAACAGAGAGATAGGTTTTCATTAGGGGAGTGGGAATATATATTTTGAATATAAAGCTTTTTGCTTTATGTTGTCAAAGCTCACATTTATTATGAGAATGTTTGAACATTTTAATTTGTAATTTTTAAAAAAATTTTAAAATATTTTTATGCCTGTGAAACTATAATTTTTTTAATGTTTTCTTCTTAAAATAACCTTATTTTTAAAAGCCCAGATAGAGCAGAGTCTATCCATGAAATAAACTTTAAACAGAGTAGTCATCATAATGTCAGCCACATAAACAGTTTTATATTGGAAAGTGTTAGGCTTTGCTGTTGTTGCACCAAAAACTACAGGTAAAAACGTCATATAGTGATAATTCACACAGAGAGGTCCTGGAATTTAAGCTGTTGAAAATAATATTATTTTTTCTCCCTTAGATAACTCATCTATATTTAAAATATCTTTACAACAAAATAACAAAGCATTAGCTGTGGCTTTGAGTGTTGAAAAAGAAAATTCTCGCAAGCTAAAGAATGAGAAGATTTTTCTTCAGAAGGAAGTAGAAAAACTCCAGCTTCATAATATCTCACTTCGTCAAAAGCTAACCTGTTTGGTATGCTGCAAATTGTATAATTTAAACTTAGAACAGCTAAGCTAAGCTTTTATCTTTTTTTTTAAATTAATATTACTTCTTAAAATGGTAGGTTAAAATATGTGTCTCAAATTGGTGAAGTTACATCACCTGACAGCATAGTATTTACATTTGATTTTTCTTTCATAGCTTTTTTTTTATTATTTTGTCTGTGTGTATAGCTATAGCTATTTTAGTCCCAGGTTCACCTTTATATAGGTACTGAGATGAGTTTGTGCTTAATTAAGTCTAAAAAAAATAAATTGCAGCATAGATCCACCTTTTATATCTTGTTTTTTCTTACATCAGAAGCCACTTAAAATATATTTTTTCTATTATATGCAGAATAAAACTCTTCTTGGAATAAATGCATTTTTGAATGAGAGCCTCTTAACTGCAATAGAAATAAGCAGTCCTTCTGAGGTAAGATGTTTTTTCAACTTTACCATATTGAACTCATTTTCCAGGGTAAGATTTTCAAAGCATCAAATTGAGTGCAATGTTAAAATACTATTTGTGTTGTAAAACACTTACCCTAATTCCTTAAAATTTGAGATTAAACCAGCATAGTAAAATAGATTGAATTTTACTGTACTGGAAATTCAGGATTTAATATGGTTTCCAAAGTATCTAAAAGTCAAATATAGTTAGCCTGAAAGGAGAACTGTGGTTAAAAAAGAAAGCTTAGCACTTCAGTATGTAGTGAGCAATCTTTTTGCTTAGTGCTGCAGTAAATATCTTACATCTGGAAACTTAACCAGAAAACACAGTCCATGTTAGTCCTTAGTGTCTTGGAAAAAATACAATTAATTATTAAAAAAAAGGAAAATACTGTCTGTTCTCAACTTGCTTAGTGTTGCTCTGTGCTTCTATATGTACAATGCAGTTTGCATGAGTTTAGCTACATTTAGAAAGTCTGTACATTCTTTTGGGATAAAAGTAAGTTATGTATTTTGATGAATTTGTAACAAAATATTTTGCTTTAAAATTATTTCACGTGTTTGAATATCATGTGTCTTCCATCAGTGCATGTATTTTTTTCCTATTCATTTTTGTGGGTTTTTTTTTTCTGTATGGTTATTTCCAATACTTAAAACGTAAGAGAATATTCAACTATTTGTATTTCCCTGCTGTTCTTCTTTTGAAAGCTTCTCCAGAGTTCCTTTCCTCTGTCAGCTGGCCCAAGCAGCCCTACTGGTGATGAGTTCAGGAGCACACATCAGTCAGATCGGTAGGTGGTTTATTAAATGCTGAAGGTGGTTGGTGTCTGTGGCTTTCTCTTACAGCTAATCTTTGTACATTGTCCTAGGTAATTTTGAGGTTTTAATGAGAAACCGTTTCCTGTTTAATCCAGAATTACCTGTTTGCAACTCAGAATTTAGAGAGAGGGTGGTAGACACAACTTGGTTGAGTAACTCGCTGCTTGTTTCATGTGATCTCACCAGCCGAAAGCAGGATTCTCTATCATCAAAAATACATTTGCCCCAAGACAGAACCCGATATCATACTGCAGTTCTTGTTTTCTGCTATTATACATTATTAAGGGAACATTTTAAACAATTGAATGTCATGAAAAAAAAAGGAATAAAAATCTTCATAGTAAAATTTTCCATTTTCAGATCTGTAGAATTACCAGCAAAGCTTCCTTTCATTGCAACAGCTAATGCAAAGCAGCAAGGTAGCTCTTCTCTGGGTGGAGCATCAAATTCTCACAAGCATACCACTAATTTGACAGAGGAAATGCATTCAGATCAAGTCAACTTTGCATCACTCTTGCCTTCTGGTACAAATAAACAAAAGTTAGTTGAAACAGAACCAATGGTTGACAAGAATAGATTTTTGAAAGGTATGATGTATTTCTGTGTGATTTATTTTTCAAGCTCTCTGAGAATTAGTACTTAATAATTCTGTACTGTAAGTGCAATACAGAAGGTATAGTAAGATTCCTAAACTGTAATAAACTAGTGAAAAAAAATGCTTATCCATAAGTATAGGTGTCCTGACAATCATTTATAGAATAATATTCATTGAAATTAACATAGCTAAGATAACCAAATAACAGCTGAAGTAGTTATAGAACAATAGAGTTTTATTTATGTCCAATTTCAAAAGTCCAACTTCAGTAAATTATGAAATTAGCTTCAGTTTGCTAAATTTTTAAGGACCAACCACAGAATGTGTGTATTCCTCTAAAAAAAAATAAAAACTCAATTTTCCATACTTCTGGTTCAGCCTTCAGTAATTTTAGGCAGATAACTACACTCTATTCTTTTCCCCAAGCTGCTGAAATTTTTCTCTTTGCAGAAAATCAAGGGTGTGCAGAATTAAGTCGCAATAATGCCTTCCTGACTCATGGAAAAAATACACAATCCTTAGAACCATCTGAGGAGCCTACAGAACAATATCATGGCAGTTCATTGCCATCCTATGAAAATGTGACTAAAAGAAAGAAAAATGCAGTACTTTGTAAGTCAAAAACTCAATCTTATCTAAAGGATTTTGATAAAAAATATAGGTCATTGAATCTGCCTCATGATGATATCAACAGTAGCAGCAACACCAATGATAGGAATTTGCAGGGAGGTTCAAGTGACTTGTCTTACATTATGCCTTCACCTCTTAAATTTAACAGTGAAAGTAAGACAGATTTTAACAAGCTGCTTTTTATTGACAAAATGAAGCCTGATGAAACTGTTTATGATGCTGACATGGAGTTGACTGCCAGTGATGCAAGTGAACTACTCACAGTTACAGCAAAAGGCAATTATAAATCGCGCCAAAGTAAAATTAATAGTGCTAATTCTGACAAATTACCAAATTTCAGAAAAGTAAAATATTCTAAGGATAAAGAAAAAATTAAAAGCAAGACTGAAGTCCATTCAAATGTCCAAGTAGAAGAAAGGTGCTCTAGGGCTGACAATAATGAAACTTCAGAAACTACTGATTCACCAGCTCAGCTATCCCAAAGTCAGACAGAACAGCTGCCTACACAAAATTCTGTGGAGCAACAGAGTAGAACAAGTAAAGCTAAGGACGCCAGGAGGACATACCAGATTAATGTAATGAGTCCAAGAAAACAAGAGACAAATAAAGGAATTTTCTCAGAAATGTCTGGAGAAATGGAAAGTAGAGTACAAAAAAGAGACTCAAGATCATCTGTTAACAAGATCCCACCAGAAGTTTATTGTGCTGAAAATTTACCATTCCAAGATAACATTTCTGATGAACTGCCTTTACAGAAGGGCTTTCTGAATACAAATGAGAAAGATAACAAACTGACAGTAAAGAGGAAAACTTCTCAAAACCTTTCCAAAGCAAACATAGCAAAATCCTGTAGAGAGGAAAATGGCCAGTACGGACAATATATTTCAAAAAAATCTCCAACAGAGATAAACCAATGTGACAGCAGCAAGAGAAAACAAGACCAAAAAAATATTATAAAGAGGAAAAACAACAAAAAAAGTAGTTACAGACAAGGTAGAGAAACTGAAAATGACAGCCCTCATAAAGTTAGTCAGAAAATAGACCAAAAGAGCAGCCAGCATTCACCAGGCAGATTGAAGCGTGCATTGTCAAAGGCCAGCCAGAAAGCATATGCAATACCAAAGGAAAATCTTACAAGGTTCTCAGTTTGTAAAAATGAGGAATTAAAAAATAAGAATTCATTGGTTGCTGGAAGGGCTGGAAAGAAAGTAACTGTAACTCAGCCAATGCAAGTAGTTTTAGTTACTCAGAATGGTGTAGCTCTGAATACATCACAAGCTGAAAAACAGGTTGATAATGATGCTAGCGGGTTAAAGAAGGTAGATTCCTCAGCGCTGGCAAATGAAACCTTCCATATAAGTAATTTTCCTGATAAGCATGTAAAACAGAAACAGAGGTTTAGTTCTGATATTACTGAGACCAGACAAGAAAAAAGGAAAAGTTATTTCAGGCATAGTGATCAGGGGGGTCAGAATATTTTGGATGACCAGGAAGTCCCGCATGAAATGAATTCCTTTGTGAGTAAGTTGAAGCCCATGATTGAAGTTGAATGGTGTAAGAATATACCATTTAAGGCAGATAGCTGTTCCCAGGAGGGCTTTTCCGATGGGGAGCTCCCAGCTCTTGATAACCACAATGCTTCCATCAATTTCTCTATACTGAAAAGCCCTGAAATCCATGGGCAAAATGATCATAATGAAACACTGGATGCTGAAAAAGAAGAACAAAATATGGATCATATTTCTAAACAGAGTAACAAAAATACTCTGGCACCTTGTCATGGTAAGTGTGTGGGCTAGAAAAAGCAAGGCATTTTGAATTAGGTAGTGCGTGAAATAGTGGTAACATGTCTTCTCTTAATTCTGTCCTCTCATTCCTTGTTTAGAGCGGATAAAAAAGGAGTGGAAAAAGGTAAGAAGTAAAATCACCAAAATCTTCTATATCATGTATCAGTCACAATATCTTTATCAGTTTTGGTGACTAATATCTTTGTTACTTTTCAATATATCCCAAGATGATACTTAGTAGGGCAGATGTAAGTTGTCTACATTCTTGAGAAGTAATTTTAGTTAAAACATGTATTTCTTTCATGAAGAATTCCATTACATTGAAAAAAATTGGGGATTGACAGATAAAATAGCTTTTCTCCAAGAGAAACAAGACAGGACTACGCTGTTCTCTTCTTAAATGGAAAATATAGCTGGACTTAAAGATTTCATTTTTATTTCTTTAGAAACATTGCAACTCAACAGGGATTCTGATATGTCAAATAAGTATGTTGAGCAGTTTTTTCTATAACCTGCCCATATGCCAACTTTGATGTGACAGTCTCTTTTTTAAAGATACATTAAGAACATAATAAAACTTCAATGTAGTCTGGAAGATAGGTTTAAATTCTTATATCATAAATGTAATTATTATAACGCAATGTAATGGAGTTGATTGAATATATAACTAACATATCTATACAAGAGTTTAAATATACTTTAGAACATAGCTTTGAAATTTCTTAGCATTAGAGACCTATTTTGTAAACTTGTTCTCAACAAGTTCCTGTTTATTTCATAGTCTGAGAAAGCCCCAACACCTAGACAATATCCTAGCTCAAATAAATAGTTTGAATTCAAAACTATTAAGCTAATACTGCCTTGGCTTCATTTGGATGCTAGGACACAATGGCTAAAAAAATCTGTTTTGCCTGAGCACAGAATAGGAATGCCAGCAGGATGAGACCCTTGTGTGAGGTATCAGTCTTTGTGATTTGCAGTTGCATCTTCTCATCTTCAGTTCCTCCTTTGGAAGGTGGAGAAAGGATCCCATACTTTTAGTAATTTAATGGTAAATTAGTAAGCCCTTGTGACCAGCAGTATCAAACATTGCTGGCATAAAAAACAAGATAGTTACTTGATCTTCATCTATTTAAGCATAGTTCAAAAGATAGTTAAGTTTTCATCCTGCATCCAAATCCAGATCTTGAAAGAGTGCTGTGCTCATTTTTTTACACATAGGCCCAAAAAGAAGGCATAAAGCTAGAAAATGCAGAACTAAAAAAACTCTTGTACAGCTTGACTCTTCAGATTATACATGTGCCCTCCCCGTGTGTTCAAGGCAAGGAGCTGTGCGCTGTGATACTTTTGTAAATGCAATAAGGGAGTCCTGAGCAGTCACAGGACTGCTCTGAAATGTCCCATGAGCCAAGGCAGACCTCAAACAGCTCCAAGTTTGTACAGAATGAAAGCTGTTCTAGTAGCATTTTCTTTGATCATCAGTCCCATTTTGTGTTGAGTATCTTTAGTGTAGGAGCAGTAACCAATGTACCTGAATTAAGAAACACATGTTAAAAACAATTATTAATTGAAGTTTACATAAGGATGCAGGAAATAATTTAAATGAAGCATATAAACTACTGCATTTATAGGAAGAAGAGCTTTCCAAGATCTGACAAATACTAGTATACAACTTCACACTTCTGTCCCTAAATCCCCCCAAATTTTAGAAGACTCAGCAGCACCACTGAGACGAAGCAGACCCACTATTTGCTACAAGGAACCCAGTCTAAACAGGTAGGTACACAGAAATTGGGGCTTTTGTCCTTGTCTTTTGCGTACACAATTACCCCCAGTAAAGATTGGTTATTAAAGCCCTGAATAAACAGTTAACTATCACAAATCTCTTTTTTGAGATACTGAAGTATCTCAAAGATACTTCAGTGTTGATATGAAGCTTCTCCAGTTAGTGTGGCAGAATGCCCAAGTGGCAAAGTAAGACAAGAACAGTATTCAAATTCTAAAATATAGTTTGGACTAATAGAGAATAATAGTGAATCTTAATGTTTATCATGATATAAACCCCTTTAGAGATGAATAATTATCAGTGTTATATTTAAAGGTAAATTATACCATAATAATGTCCTTGTAATCCTGTCAAATGGGAAGGAAATTTATGTACTAATAAAATTCAATAGTTTTGTTTTAACTAGCTGTATGTAATACAAAAAAACATTTAAGATTTATTAATTTGATAGTTATATTGGATATATTATTTTATAACTAATTTGCCTCATAGTATTCTTAGTAAATTTAGTGGCACAGGATTTTATAGGCTATTAAAAGACAAGACATAAATTGTAAAATAACTTCTAAAATTTAAAAGAGGATTTGAAACCCAAACTTCCATTAAGAAAACTTATATATTTGGCCTTAAATGATTAGATCTAAATGTAAACAGAGCTTTAGGTTCATCATTTCTGAAAATATTCTGCGAGTTTTTGCCAGAAAGTTGTTGAGGTTTTTTTGTTTGGTTTGGATTTTTTTAAAGCATAGTATTAATTTAAGGAACAGTTCCACTGTGTTATGTGTTAGAAGGATGTGTATTCATGAGATAAAAACAGTAGAAAGGCTTCCCTGGAACAATGTTGAGAGTGAAAGGATTATAGCAACTTACTTGATGACAAAGCTATAAAAAGCCTTTTGGTCTGGCAATACTGTGGCAAGACAAGAAGATAAATGCACAAACTGTAAAAAAAATTGAACACTGTTCTCATACAACCTCAAAATATTTTTTACTTTTGTGAGTAAGTTAACAATTGAAGCAGTGAGACTAAAGAAAAGTAGGAGCTAAAAGTAAAAAGTCTTCACTTTACAACTGGCAATTCAGACATATTTATTCCAGATAACTTGTAAAATAAATTGGAAAGGGATTAGAGTCCCACTTCTATTTTACTAATTTGCTTATATGCTAAAATGCTGTAGTATTATATATTTACACAGTGCCACTCTTTTACCCCAAAATGATAAGGTTATGTATTTCTGAGAAACAGTAACTAATAACGGAAAAAAATGTTGATGTCAGTCAACATTTTAGATGATTGTCTCCAATTTATATTTGAGTTAGATTTACACTGTCCTTGAATGGGTGCTGTTAAGTGTTTGGTTTAAATAAGTTTTGAATTTTATTTTATAGGAATATCACATCCTAATATGATAGAGGTCACATAAAAAGACTAATATTTCTAGCATTATTTTAGAAAGCAGTAGTTAGCTATGCTTTTTCAGAAATACTTATTTTCCACAAATTTAATTTCTTTAGTGTATCAAGCTTTCATTAATACTATTTACCATTTTAATTATTATGATTACATTACTATAGTTGCATAGGTGCTTGATGATATTCATACCTGATGTCTTTTATTTCTTTTCTTTACAGAAAATTAAGGCGAGGGGATGAATTTACAGATACACAATTCCTGAATTCCCCAATCTACAAAGTAAAAAATAAAAGAAATTTTAAAAGCAAATCAAAATTTTATTGAAGAACAGAGAATTGCCTTTAGGGACAATACTTCTAAAATGGGTACAATTGTTTATATATATATGTAAATGTTTAGCAATATAGAGTATTTGTTGTTCTTTGATTAGTAAAGGTCTTCCACAGTGAAATTTTCTGGAGAAGAACCTCTATAAAAGGGACACAGAGTACCTTACTGAAGAAGGCATATACAGGTCAGGCTCACTTGTGTTTTGCGTTTCTGGTCAGTAATTTATAGTCTGTTCAAATGGCTTGCAGCACTTCTTAAATTGTTATAAAATACATGTTTTAATGAGAAATAAAAATAAACCAGCTTTGGGAATTGTACTGTGAGTTTTTCATATTTATTGTGAGTGGAACAATTTCTCAGTGCTGGTTAGAATAGACATATGCATCCAAAATTTTTATGAATTTATTGAAAAAGATGAAGGTAGTCACTCTTTTGTTGATAGTTGACTTTTGGATTTGACAGAATCACACTGAGGTTTGAATAAGGAAATCTCATTGAGAAATCATGGAGGGAAGTCAAGTGTCTACAGTACGGGCCAAAGGCAGCAAGGAAGAAAAAAGCACTTCAATAGAAATTCAGTAGTAAATAGGATCCAGACAAAGCAATACCTTGAGTTTCCAATTGAGAGTGCCCGTGTGACAAGTAATGCAATAACATCATACCATTCAGCTTTCATTTTTTGTACTGCTTCCCCTCTGCATTCCATATTGTGCTGTCAGCTGATAGTTTTCTGGCAGTATCTGATTTGTAAATGATGCCAAATGCAGGTGATAACTCACTACCCACACAACTTTTACACATTACAATGGATAAGGTTCAGGCCCATTTTGCAGCAGAGAGACATTTTTGATGAGATAGAAATAAGGTAACTTACTTTAGTTATAGATGGTGGTTCTTCATGCATATGCAGTAGATGTTAGTTTACATGGGCTTAAAAATTCATCAGACATATTAATGGAAGAAATATCTATGAGAAATTACCAGAAACACCATTTGTGGCACAAGATGTTCCTGAATTGCAAATTTTTCGAAGATGATTCTGGAGAAGCCTTACTATGCCTTTGACCAATTATTGTACCTTTTCCAAGGACATTCCTTGTTGACACTTTCCGAGACAAGTTCTTTGGTTTGCTTGACGTTTTGTCTGATACAGCATGTCCCTTTTTAAGAGGTTTAACTGATATTCTTAAATGTATAATATATTTTTTAAAGTATACTTTTATAATATATTCTTAGAAAAATTATATTCTTAAAAACATTCTTTTAAATGTACTCTTTGTACTTCATTGTAGATTACATTGTAAGCTGGGAAGCTGCCTGAGAAAATAGTCCTTTAACACATGTTAAAAACAAGAAGGTGGTTGGGAGTAGCTGGCATTGATTTGCAATCAGGAAATCTGGCTTTATGAACATGATAGTCTTCTACAACTGTCTTGGTGGGTCAGGGTACAGCACTAGATGTTTGTCTCAGCTGTAGTAGGGCTTTTGACATTTTCTCTGATAACATTCCACAGACAAATTGACGAAGTATGGGTTTGTTAAGGCACAATGAGGTGAGTTGAAAACCGGGAAGGTTGTGATTAGTGCCAAATGGTCCAGCTGGAGGCAAAACATTAGAGCTCCTTATGGTTTCACACTGGTGCCAGCAGTGATTAATGAGTCAGTGCACCCTACACAAGTCTGCAGCTGATACAAAACTCGAAGGAGTGGCTGAAATACCCCGTGGTTCTGAGGGATCTGGTCAAGCTGGAGAAATGTGCTGAGAGGAATCTCAAGAAGTTCAGCATGAGGAACCAACATCCTTCTGTGAGTTGCCAGAATTTCAGCTGTGTATTTTGACAGAAAAAGGACTCATACATATCAAAACACACTCCTGGATATAGCTTCCAGGTTTGTCCATTCAACATGTAAGGCTGAATAATAACCATAAACACTAAGAGGCGTAAATGTATTATTTACAAACACTTAAATAATACCACAACTATTTTCTGCTGTGGTTATTTTGTTATGGTCTGTAGCCCTATGGCAGCGTCCTCAAGATCCTGTAGGATTTTCCATGTATTAATTTAGAGTTAAACGTATCACTAGTGAGTTTACAAAGGGGACATTTAGTCCCTAAACAGAGTTGTCTAGCTGTGGTACCAGTGGCAAAGATCATGTAAAGATTGTAAATATACAGCAGTAAGTAGAGCAAGGTATTTTCATATGGAGCCTTGCAGTACAAATAGAGTATTCAATCAGTATGAAAATTCTTCCAGTAAAAAAACTTATCACCCAGGCAATGTGATCTGCATTGCAAAACAGAGCTGTTAACATCTGGGAAGTTTCAGCAGTCAGTTTTTTTTCTTTCTGAAACATGCTGTGTATGTCACCCCATCAGCAAGACTATTATGAAGAGGTGCAGAAATGGTTGAGAAGATAGATTCTATCCTCCTTCAATGTTATTTTTTAAAAAGAAGTACACATAGAAATTATTAAGCATTTTTCTTGGTTTTTAGTTTATAATTAATTTATTTTCAATTGAAGTGTTCTTGCTAGCTTCTACTATTTATCAACATCACCAGCTGTGTCATTAGAAACCCTCAAGAAACACCTGTTAGAACTTGTGTTCCCAGTACTGGCACTGCAGCAGAAAAACACTGTGGTTTTTTAAATGGTTGTTTCTCTCTACTGCCTGTGGTTGGAAAGCTAGAAACAGAGGCATGTGTTTTATCTCCCCAGAAAACAAATGATCTCTTTTTGGATGGGCTTAATTATTTTTTCAGTGAAGGTCCTTCTGCTCTACACAGGCTCAGATGTTAGCAGCTAGACTGCTAGGGTGTCCCAAATACAAGCATATAATTTTCAATAAAAGTAAAAGGCCTAGGGCTTTATGCCTTTATTTCTTCCATTCCTTTAGTATAGATATCTTTCAAAGTAAGAAAGGATAAAAAGGTGGCTTGAAGATACACAGAAGTTATTTTAAATAACTCTGAAATCATATTATTGCTACTGCCCTTCTTTCCTTGTTTTCTCCATTCTCACTCTTGTTGCTCAAATTGATGTTCAATAATAGAAAACAGAGAAAACTCCCTTTGTTATTTCCTAGGTTTCTTTTGTTACACAAAATGAACACATAAAAGCAGCATAAAGAATGTTGCATTGTCTTTGAGCCTTTACTATATGTGCTTGTTTTACCAGGTCATTTGATATATTAGAAGCTCTTTCCAGGAAAATGATGTAAAAGCGGCTCATGATTTTTGACATTAAAATCAATTTGTAGCCATCACCAAGAATTAGGATAATTTTGCTGAGGATAAGGTAATTTGAACTTCTTTTCATAGCTTTAAAGTTGCTTTTTCTCATGTTTACTCAATCAAATTGAAATTTTGTAGGAAATGAATTCCATATATTTTGATTATACAGAACGGGTATTTTTTTAAATATAAACTCTTGCCTGCACAAGTAGCCCTTAAAAATGGTTATGATACCTGGACCTTACTGCTGATTATTTTGTGAATGCAAGTATAACCAAAAATCCCATTGGCCTCATGATCACTACATTACTGGATTTTATCTCAATTTAAAATTACTCTTGGTGACCTTATTATAAAAACCTGGTAACAGTCCACAGTGTTTATATTGCCGTTTTGCTCTGCAGGAACACCTGTGTCCTTTGACAAAGTGTAAGGTATGGCTTAGCTTTCGAACACTTAAATAACACCTTAAAGGGTAAGTAAATAAATGTTTGCAGTCAGCTCAGGCCTGAAAACAACACCCGTGTTCCCCTCTGGGTCGGGGGTGCCGGCGGGGCGCGGGGACCCCTCGGAGCGGCCGCGCTCTCGCCGCCCGCCCCGCGGCCCCGCCCCTCACAACAAAGCGCCTCCTGCTGCACGGCTTTCCCTGCTGCTCCCGGGGCCGGGACTGCGAGCCATGGCTCTGCAAGGGACCGCGGCGGATGAGGAGCTCGTTTTCTATGTGAATGGGAGGAAGGTAAGTAAAGCTCGGAGAAAAAGGGGCTGCTGTGGCTAAAGGAGCCCCAAAGGGCACTCGCAGACTTATTCATGCGAGTGTAATCGAATCCTCACACAAACCTCCAGAAGGAGGCTGGATAGTTGCATCCCATTTTGGCTAGCTCTGCTGTGTTTAGGAGAAAAACCGTGTCAAAAATGAAGTTGACTTTCAGCTGGGTATCAGACTTGGCTGATAAGGAAACCGCGTTTTTCATTCGTATGTCTGGCTTCTCATCTTTGACGGTGTCAGGTTTTCAGAGGCACAATTGAAAGCAAAGACTCCAGTACCCAAATTTGGATTATTGACTAAGATGATATTGCAAGGGCTGGTTGTTGATCCAAAGTAACTGTACGGAACCACCTGATTTTAAGTTACCGAATAAGAAATACTGTACTCGATTAAGAGTGTGGGTCTTTCTGTTGCTCTCTGTTGTCAGTTTCTAATGGCGAGTGGAAGTTAATAAAACTAGAAAAGAAATTGCTGCTGCTAATAGCCTTACAGGTTTCCTCTACGGTTTCTTCTAGTATGTCAGAATGCCAGGGAGTCTTTAAAATCTGCAAATCATTAGTTAGTTCTTTATGCTGTCTTTAAAGTTCTGCATTTTTATTTCTAGTGTGGCCGAAGGTCAGTTCCCTCAGTATAACGTTTCACTGAGCAGCAGTTATTTTTAGTTCTTGCAAGGTGCCCTAACACTTCTTTTCTGGAAATGTATCTGTCTGAAAAGGAATTTCCAGAACGAATCTAACTCTTCTGCAGTGTTTGGCAATTAGTGTAGTTCTATAAAAGGGAACCAGAGAAAGATTCTCTTCTGGCTTTGTGAATGTAGTCTGTACCCTGAATTTTGAAAGGCCTTGGTTTCTTAATTAAACCTTTCTTTTTAAACCTTGTTTTTTTTTACTTTTTTGCTGTAGATAATAGAGAAAAATGCTGATCCTGAACAAATGCTCTTGTCTTATCTGCGAAAGAGGCGTATCCTTTTCTTGTCTGTTCCCTAAAGTCACTCATGTGAAAGCCTTATTCAAGCAAAATCCTAATAAATTTTAATTCAAGGTTTAATTACCAGATTAAAGTAAGTTGTGATTCCTTTAAGATAAATCATTGACACTAGATGATGTCTCTTTCTTAATCCAAATATTCTTCAGCTGAGCTGCTGTATTTTTAGCCTGGCTTTTTAAACACACAGAGTTACACCATCAGGCACAATAAATATGTGTCTGCATTCTCCCTGCTTCCACCTGGTAAAGAAGTCTAAAAACCTAGTGGTCA